AGAAAAGTTTATGGCGATGATATACCAAGTACAATAAAAATGCTTGGATATGAATGTTATTCGCGTTCAAATTTTAAAAAATTTTCATTGCCTAACATAATCACCTCACTCTATGAGGGCTGTTTTTACTACTGTGAATCTTTATCTGTAATAACACTTCCAAGCAATTTGAGAGAAATAGGAAACAAATGTTTTGGTAACTGTTTTGCATTGAAGGTACTTGACCTTCCAATAACAGTTACAACAATTGGGTGTTGTTTTGTTGACAACTGTTACAGTCTTACGTCAATAAGTGTGCCAGAAACACTCACTTTATTGCCACAATATTGTTTCCATGGATGTAGCAAATTAAGTGGATTTTCGTTTCCTGACCATTTGAAGTCGATTGGCGATTTTTGTTTCCAAGATTGTTCATCGTTAAAATCAATTGTAATACCCGATTGTGAGTGTTTTATAGGCGAAAAGGTATTTGATCATTGCATCAAATTGACTTCATGTAATATTGATGGAAAAATTAACAGTATATATGATTTGTGTTTTAATTGTTGTTCTTGTCTTGTCTCAGTTGATATTCCAAACACTGTTACCAACATCGGAAAGTCTTGTTTTCGCGAGTGTCACATGTTAAAGAATATAACTCTTCCTCATCAATTGCAAGCAATACCCCATCAATGTTTCTTCAATTGTTTTGAATTAGAAAAATTTGTTATACCCAAGAACGTCAGTGCATTGGGGTCTTGCGCTTTTAGTCGATGTATCAAAATACAAACTATTGTAATACCAAGTCGTGTAAAGTCGATTGGACACAACTGCTTTAATGGGTGTCAATCTCTGGAAATCACTATTCCAAGCACAGTCACATTCACTGATAAGTATTGTTTTAAAAAGTGTAAAAAAATAACCAAAGAAAATGAAAATAAATAAGTAAGAACAAATGTAAAATGTGGTTGTTGATTTTATTTTTTATCAACAGGAAGTTTTGTTTTGTTAAGTCTGTTTAATTCTCTTACTTATAATATAATTAATGAATTAATTTGTTATAAAATCCCATAATTTTTGAATAATTTATTGTTGTTGTAATTTATAAAAAACTAGACTGTTTATTATATGGTTTTATTATTAGCATATGTAATCGTATTATTTATGTCAGTTACAAAACCTATAAATTGGATTTCCTATGTTTTAGCCACATAAGCTAAAACCACTAAAAATTCAATATCTTCCCTCTTCATATTTTTTATCTTTTTCAAACCAAATTTATATGTAAAATTAAATTTTAAATTTTATGTTTTAAAATGGATTTTTTTAATAAATCATTTAAAATGGTTGAATCGTTTTACAAACACAACAATTGTCAAACAAATATATTGAAAAACAAAGTTAATGTGTTAAATCATTAAATTTTGTCTTGATTATCAACTTTTTACGTTAATACTACTTCCTGTTATTAAAATTAACCCAAATGTTAAACACAATACAAATTACACAATCAAAGCTTTAATTTGTTTTATAACATCCTCAATTGGAGGTCTATCGCCTGGTTCATGTTTCCAACAATCGCAAATTATTTTATAGCATTCATCAGAGACGTTCTCTGGTTTTGGAAGGCGTTTCCCCTTTGTAACAAAGTCGACCACATTCCATGGGTATAAAAATTCATTGGATGCATATGACCGGCTCCACGCAAAGCATTCATACATAGTGACTGCAAATGAATATACATCTGCAGATATTTTGTATTTTTGGGACATTATCACTTCAGGTGCCATGAAAACTGGTGTACCAATTCCTTTAGTGAATGTCATGTTAGTCATCATCATATTAATATTTCTTGATGATCCAAAGTCAGTCAGTTTTGCATTCACCTTTTGATCAAAATCGAGTGCAACAACAAGGATATTATCTGGCTTGATGTCTCTATGTAAAATGCCATTGGAATGAAGGTAGGATATGCCATATGCTGCGTCTAACACAATTTTGATCTTTATTTTATTCTCTATTAATTCACTCTTTTTATGCTTCATCAAGTCATGCAAAGACCCAAATTGTGCAAATTCAGTGACCATACATATTTTATTTGGGATAAACACAGCACCATAGAAATGGACGATATAATCACTTCTGAATTTGTCCAACATTGACACTTCCTTTTCAAACTCTTCCATTTGTCCTTGGATGTAGCACAACCTTTTCATCTTTTTGATTGCAACAATATTGTTCTGATATCTTCCTTTATACACAATTCCAAAACTCCCTTCTCCAAGTTTAAATTCTTCGCAAATGTCATTTGGATTTAATCGTGTTGAGAGTTCTGTGTCAAATGCTATTTTGATGTTTGAAATTTTTTGTTCATTTGTGAAGACGTCTTGTACAAAAATTTGGACGTTATCTTTTATATGAAAAGTGCAAAGGGGTTTCACTTTAATTTCAATGTTTGCGCCTTGCTTCTTCTTCAATAGAAGTTGACTCGGATTGACCTCCATTTCATACATCTGGTCAAGTTCTTTTCGTAATACAAATTTGACCAAAACACCATGTTTTCCCTTCATATTTGCTATTTGAAAATACTCTGAAGTAAATGTGTTGACATGAATAGCTCCCTCCAATTCATTTTCTTCTCCAAATTTCAAATAATCAGTTGAAACACCAAGTGAAGAATTGTTTAATAACTTCCACAGAACATTGGATTCATTAATCCAAAACTTTTCAACATACATGTTCTCTTTCTTCTCATTAAGTGCAAAATCAACTTTCTTCAGAATGGTATTGGAAACAAAGTATATCACAGCAATCACACAAACAACAATGAAGACCGAGATAAAACAACTTATCATGATAACCCACCAAACTGGTTTGGAGTAACAAGTTGAGTGAGAGTTGTTGAGCGAATACCAAAAGTCGCATGTTATACATTTGAATCCATTTGCTGCTGCACAATGTAATTTTGATGAAAATAAAAGGCAGTGATCTTCTTCCACTAAATAATCTGATTCACATAATGTACATTTTCCATTCTGTGAATCGCATTCTACACAATTGGGATTTTTGGTACTGCAAAATACACAACGCTTGTTGACAAAAAAGAATCCACTTGAACACGTTTTGCAGCCAAAATCATTTGCAAAAAGGCACCCTGTTAGATTGGATTTTCTTTCACATTTATCAAATTCGTTGACAAAGTAATTATCGTGACATTTGGTGCATGTTGTTTTGTTTCTGCACTTCAAACAATTACTTGGACACACTTCGCATTGCGATGTGTTATCAAGGTAATATTCGTATTCACATTGAACACAAATTCCCGCATTGTTTTGTAACAACAAGACACAATGTGCAGCTGCAACATCATTTGGGACACAATTGGTATTATCCAAGTAATACCCACTTTGGCATGTAAAGCATTCATTTGTAGTCGTTGTCAAGTTTGTTATATAATCAATATTATTTACTATATGACATCCAGAACATCCATATGAACATGTATAACACAAGTTCTCGGAATTTAAATAAAAAGTAGACTGACATTGAACGCAAACTCCTTGTTTGTATTTGATGCAATGTTCTTGACTGATATCAGTGCATTCATATGTGATAACAGAGTTTTCAATGCGCGTTAAAAAGTGTGTTGAGTCGCACTTCTCACACTCTCCATTTAAACTGCATTCGACACAAAATGCCCCACACGAAACACATTGTGTGCCATTGTAGTAATACCCAGGAGAACACAAAACACACAAACTATTCAACACCTTTTCACATTTGAGAAGGTTTTTATTAACACAAAGACCATCTGAAATAACATAATCAATGTCACAACTATAACAAAGCGCTTTATTAAGGTAAAAATCGTAGTAACAAGTTTTGCATTTGTCTGGACATACATTACATAATTTAAAGTATTGGGTATAAAAACCCGGCTTACAAGCAATGACTCTACTATTGACAACACTTCCATATTCAGCACTTGTTGCACAGAGTTTTGTATTTGTGATGAGAAAGTTGTTGTTTGTGCTACATATCGAACATTCAAGAGATTGACAAAAGGCGCATCCTTCAACACATTGATTTGAACATTTATCATATGAAGGTGTTCTATATGTGGATTCTGCGCATTTTAAACATAATTTGTTGTTATACAATAAACACTCTGTAACTTTAGTGCACTGAGAATTTGAAAGTAAATAATTTGTTTGGCAAACATCACATTCGGTGTTTGAATGACAGTTTTTGCAATGATCACCACATTTTTCACATTTAGTTGTTTTTGCATTGAAAAAGTAATTTTCGTGACATTTGGAACAGTTTGGTTTTGATCCATAAATTTCGCAATTTTCGTCGTTGTAAATTTGATTTTCACATTCAGAATTTATTAATGAAGAGAATCTACATGCCAAACATTTAGAAATAAACACATTATCACCATTTTGATTATTCTTTTGTGTTACTAAACTTTTGCAATTTCCATTTGGTGTGATTTGAATTGGTCCGTTGCTATTAAGAACAAACCCATATTTTTCATCTGAAAATAAGAGATTAACACCTTCAATCGTTATTAAAACACCATTTGGATTACTCAAAGTTATTAATATTTTGTTGTTATCGCCTTGAATCGTAAAATCAGAATTTGCATCAATTTTTAATTCATTATTAGTTGTCTTTAAAATGATTTTTTTAGCGATGAAAATAGTTTGGTAAAGTTCATTTTTAAGGTCATACATTTCACCTTCATAAATAGATGTGATTTTAATATTGTTTCCAAATGATTGTAAAGTAGATGGACACGAAAAGTCCCATTTTCCATCTTCGTTTTTATACAACTCGTTTCCAGACACTGGTAAACACAATTTGTTGTAACTCTCCATCAAACAATCTTTTTCTTCAATGGCTCCAAGTCCAAGTATTTGGTTATTACAAACGGACTTTACTTTAGCTTTGTTCACCTCATCTTTAATAACAACTTTTCTCAATTTGTTTGAGATCAAATGCAATGTATTAATACTCTCAGCTGTTGGTATTTTTGTAATTGCCAATTCGCTTTGTGAATTTGTGATTGAAAGGAAATAACCATTTGGATTGATTGACACATTTTCAATTCCAATTTGTTCAACTTCATTTGACAAATACACTCCATTTTTTGATATTAAATTTCTGATATTAACTATTGTGGTAAATACTTTGACAATATCAGCAGTCATATCAAATTTTACACTCCCTGTTACATCTAAAAGTGATATCGAATTATCTGAAATCAGTGTGATAATTGCATCTTTCAATGTAACATTCAAACGTTGTATTTCCATACTCATTTTCGTCTGAAGGAGTAAATTGTTTGTTATTGTCAAATAGTTTATTTTCAATACA